TGAATTCGCCTTTCTTAAATGTGCGTTAACTTCGTACAATCAGTCAGTCAAGTACTTAACGGTTTCTGAATCTTCTAGCACTGACATTTCTGCGCGGGAACGCTCAGTGAAATTTCCTCGACTGTCGATTTATTTTGAAAATGACGTTGATTTCTTTGAGTTGTTTTGACAGTTTGGCAAGCCTAGATCCGACCACATGCGCGTTTCAGTCACAGAAAGCAGTTCTCAGCCCGACTATGACTTACTGATTTCCAAGCAAAATTAGGGTTTATCAACAATCACGTGTAATCCTAGCAGAGAAAAAGACATGTACTCAGGTTATCTGGATTATGAACCCACGTACTTCACCAATTTGACGATAAAGCTGCGCTTGGAAGAAATTAATACCCACAAATTGCTCACTGGAATTATCTTCAAATTATTTAAAAATGACGGCAAGTTTGATACTTTATCAGAGAGTTTTAATGTTGGCCAAACTCCTTCCATTACCAGCTTTCAGTTTTCAGCACATGAATGGCATCTTTAACTCGTCCAAAGCCTAGGCAAACATCTTCACAACGAAGACGGTCTTATTCAAGTCTAGGAACCTACTTCGTGTTTCCATTCAAACAGTTGCTCAAATGGACTTACAAGTGAAATTTCCTCGACTGTCGATTTATTTTGAAAATGACGTTGATTTCTTTGAGTTGTTTTGACAGTTTGGCAAGCCTAGATCCGACCACATGCGCGTTTCAGTCACAGAAAGCAGTTCTCAGCCCAACTATTACTTACTGATTTTCAAGCAAAATTAGGGTTTATCAACAATCACGCGTAATCCTAGCAGAGCAAATGACATGAACTCAGGTAATCTGAATTAAGAACCCACGTACTTCACCAATTTGACGATAAAGCTGCGCTTAGAAGAAATTAATACCCAAAAACATCTCACTGGAATTATCTTCAAATTATTTAAAAATGACGGCAAGTTTGATACTTTCTCCGAGAGTTTTAATGTTAGCCAAACTCCTTCCATTACCAGCTTTCAATTTCCAGCACATGAATGGCATCTTTAACTCGTCCAAAGCCTAGGCAAACATCTTCACAACGAAGACGGTCTTATTCAAGTCTAGGAACCTACTTCGTGTTTCCATTCAAACAGTTGCTCAAATGGACTTACTCCTCCACGCACGAAGAAATACTGCACATAGACACAGAGAATTCCGCAAGAAAACGGCGATTTCATCTTACTATATTCCCCGAAAATCGCTAAACTGTCCTTGAATTCACTCCAAATGAGACGGAACAGTCTGCAGGCCTTAAAAATCGTCGGTCTGTCGAATGCTTTCCTTCTCTTGTGAGAATCATCTCTTTGGACAACTGCACACCCCACAATATTCCACAGAAAATTATACTCCAACAAACCGCTCGAGAGTCCTCTTAAACGTACACGAAATAAAACCCTAGAATGCGAAACACATCTCACATTGCAAAATGGGGAAGCAGCAGCAGGCGCAAAAAAAAAAGAAGAGAAAAATTCTGCGTGATAATATGCGCGACGCTATTTCGCACTAGTTTTCGTTACACAGCTGCTGAGCAGCAGGCCGGGACTGGCGTGCGGAATTTCGCTCACATTCCCGCGACGTCTGGGAGGTCCACAGGAGCTGGGAGTGGGTGTGTCGAAAAGGGTCTCTCTCTCTCTCTCTCTCTCTTCCCCTCTCCATCTCTCTCTCTCTCCCTCTCGCGGCCTCCTGTTTGTATTTTTTTTCCCTTCCTCTCCCGAAAATTCCCTCGCCGGGAACCCATGCGACTTCTCGGGGGCCCCGGAAGGGAAAGGTCTCCCTGAACCCGGCAGAGGGACTATGGCTGATCGATACGACACTGGGAAGGACGACGACGGGCCCTTCTCCCCCCCCCCCCCCCCCCC